CAATGACAGAGACAATGAATATTCTTCTACGAATTGTCATGGCACACTCAAAAGAATGGTGCCTGCAGTGGTAGAAAAATTGAATTCTCTTGACAACTTGGCAGTAAAAAATACAATAGCAGTTTGAGAAAACAATGGAAATGCATATAGAATTGGGTTGTTATACTGCCTGCAATGGTATAGATATCACAATACTCAACTTTTGCTACAGCTCTAGGCTGTTAAATATTGTCTGTTCTTTTTCTACTACTTTTGATTGTTTTTTGTTACTGAGAAAAGCCATTGCAGGACATATATGGTTTTTACAAATAATGTGTCTCTGTAGCAAAAGTGCAAGGAAGAAATCTCGATTGTATTTTCTATTGTCATTATTGTTAGCGCTGTAATTTTGTAAAAATCAAAAACATCTATAGGTTATTCAATCGTGGCTACTAGGAATGTTAAAATCAGCCAGCTGAAATACTCTCTTCTTGGCTGTCAATATAGGTTTTGTGTAATTATACAGATAAATATACAGTATAAATATAGATTGTTTTATTGCTCCTGTTGTTCCCTCTATTCCTCACTTCTCACTTAAAGGGACACTGTAGATACCCAGGCCACTTCAGCTCATTGAAGTGGTCTAGGTGCAATGTCCCATGTCCCTTAACCCTAGTGCAGTTTCTGAGAAACTGTAATAATTACCTTGCAGGGTTAACTCCTCCTCTAGTGGCTTTCTACTAGAAGGGACTTCCAGGTGGTTAGACAACTTTTGGCCATCTAAATGGTGCTGGACGTCCTCACGATATGTATGAGGACCTCCAGTGTCACCGGAATCCCATAGGAAAGCATTGAATAATGCTTTCCACTGGGGAAATCCTAATGCAAGTGTGTGCATGCGTATAAGGTCTCCCATATGCTTTTCGTCAGCGGGGGAGGAGCATGGGTGGAGCCTGACCCAGCACCGAGGGACATCTTGCTGGATTTCAGGTAAGTAACTGAAGGGGTTTTAAGGAGGGGGGCACTGTAGGATTCTATAGTGCCAGGTAAACAGCTTTGGTTTCCTGGCACTATAGAATCCCTTTAATGACTTAACAAAATCAAAATGTACTGGCTCTCCCCTAGTTATTAATCATGTTTTTTTTCAATCAATCATTTTTTTTTTTGGTGCCACGGTGGAATGCAGAATCATCATCCAGATCAAAACATGTTCGGCATTGTGTGGTTTGCTTGGTCCGTGATTCAGGTACATGTTGTCTTGGAATTTGCATTCGCATTAGCCCCCTATCTATCAGGTGACATTGGAGGAGGTGGAATGCCGACCCAGCAATGAGAGACGTTGGGTGCTTGGTAACTGTTAAAAGGGTTTTTGAACACTTGCAGTGCTGGGAGGTGGGGGCACAAGGGAAAGCGGGGCAGAGGAAACTATTGAAGTCTCACACCGATTTAGACTTTCCACACTACAAATTCATATTGCATTTATACAGCACAGCCCTTGCCCTTGCCAAACAGTCATACTTTATTTTTCTTATTAGCTCATGCTCTCACAATCCCAGGTGTCTCTTTGATACCTTTAACTCTCTTTGCCCTGCTGCGGCCACCCCCCAAACTAACCTTATAGCCGATAGTTTTGCATGCTACTTTACTGACAAGATTGAACAGCTAAGGAAAGAATTCTCACCACCTTGCCCCTCACTTTCTCAACCTCACCTGGATCATGCCTCTCCAACCCTTCCAACCTTCTCCCAGGCTACTGAACAAGAGGTGGCTGCACTTATACTTTCTTCTCGCCCCACCACTTGCCCGCTTGATCCTGTCCCGTCTCACCTTATCAGATCTCTCTCCTCATGTCTTGTGCCCTCCTTAACATACATCTCCAACTGCTCTCTTTCTTCTGGCACTGTCCCTTCTGGCCTTAAACATGCCACTATAGTACCTATCCTGAAAAAACATCTCTTGACCCGTACTACCCCTCTAACTATCCTCCTATATCCCTGCTCCCTTTTTCCTCAATGCTTCTTGAAAGACTAGTCTTTATGCGTCTGGCCTGCTTCATCAACTTCAACTCTCTCCGTGACCCTTTTCAGTCCAGCTTCCACCCCCTTCACTCTACTAAGACTGCCCTTATCAAAGTCACTAATGACATTATCACAGCTAAATCCAAAGGTCTCTACTCCAAATTGTTCTTGACCTCTCTGTTGCTTTTGACACTTTGATCATGTTCTCCTTCTCCAAACTCTTCAATCACTCGGTCTCTGTGACTCTGTCCCATCGTGGTTTTCCTCTTATCTCTCCCAAAGCTCATTCAGTGTCTCCTTTCCTAATGATACCTCCACCATTCATCCTGTCTCAGTTGGGGTCCCCCAAGGCTCTGTCCTTGGTCCCCTTCTATTTTCTCTTTACACTGCCTCTCTTGGCAAACCTATTACCTCATTTGGATTCCAATACTACCTGTATGATGATGACACCCAGATGTATCTCTCCTCCCCGGACCTCTCCCCTGATGTCCTGCAACATGTCACCTCTTGCCTTTCTTCTATCTCTGATTGGATGTCCTCCCGCTTTCTGAAACTAAATCCTTCCAAAACAGAACTTCTTGTCTTTCCTTCTCCTAATATTAATCCTCCTCTCTCGCTCTCCCTTCAGATTTGTGGTACCCATATCAGCCCATCCTTACAAGCACGTTGTCTTGGTGTTACCTTTGATTCTGGCCTCACCTTTGAGCCTCACATCCGGTCTGTTGTCAAATCATGCCAATTCCACCTTAAAACCATTGCCCGCATCCGCCCCTTTCTTACACAAGATGCTACTAAAGGGTTTGTCCATGTTCTAGTAATCTCTTGCATGGACTATTGTAACTCTCTCCTAGTTGGTCTTCCCAATAGCCGTATTGCCACACTACAGTCTGTAATGAATGCTGCCGCTAGACTGCTTTTCTTCTCTAGTCGGTCCTCTCACACCTCACCCCTCTGTCAGTCCTTACATTGGCTTCCTGTATACTATAGGAGTCAATTGAAAATGCTAACCCATACCTATAAAGCACTGAATAATCTTAGCCCCTCTTATATCTCCACACAGATCCTTAGGTATGCCCCTTCTTGGTCTCTTGGCTCTGCCAATGACCTTCTTCTGTCTGCTGCTCGCACCTGTATGCCAACTCACACTTGCAGGACTTCTCACGGGTGACTCCCTTCCTATGGAATAGCCTGCCTACTGCCATCAGACTCTCCCCTAGTCTTCAGTCGTTTAAAAAGTGCCTTAAAACCCATTTCTTTAGGAAAGCCTACGGCCTCTTATTATCCAGACTAACCTCTACCTCACATACCTGTCTCTTGTTCTCTCCTAAAGGGCAGGACTCTACTTTCTCCTCCAGCTCTGCTTCACTCCCACCTCATTTGACTGCTATTTCGTGTTCTGCGCAGTATTCTAGTATTCCTAGAACTGCCCTGTTCTGGAGCTGTGGAAACTGCTGAAGCCACTCTTCCGTTCCTTGTCTACCCAATAATGTGGTGTTAGTCAGTACTTGCTTGTCTTTATGGGTTTGGAAATCCCATAATGGATCTTTGCCCAGTCATTCTCAACTATCCTTTGTGGTATCTTCTATCTGGACTTAGGCAGGTCCAGCCCATATTCTGTGCAAATGTTTCTGGTTTAGGTACCCAATCACAGCACCTAGTTTGTGTCTCTCAGTACATATATCCCTGGAATAAGGCATGTGGCAAACAAAGTTTAATTTGCATTTCTTGTAATTTTTACTTTACTGTGTATGTAATTAATCTACCAAATAAATTCTGCATATAAATCATTCTTTTTGCCTCTTCATTGCTCCCTCGCTTTGAATGTTTGTACTGTGTAAAAATACATGAAATTTTGTCTGCAAACTTAAAAAAAATAATAATCAGAGCTTTATGAACATATGCTATTTGACTTATGTGCTTCTTCTCAGCTTTTTAACCATATGGAATAAAAAACAAAAAAAAGGCAGGACACAAACATATGACCATGCCTAGGGCTGCTTGCTGTCTTAAATGATACCAAGAAAAACTGTTTTTTGACAAATGATCAAACATCAGTGACAGTAAGTCAAAATAAATAAAAAATAATTAAAATAAATTGGAAAAACCTAGTAATGCTAAAATTCTTTAGTTAAATAAAAGCAATGCTTAAGAAATTAAACAAGATAGACAGACAGACAGACAGAGAGACAGAGAGACAGAGAGACAAAGAGACAGAGAGACAGATAGATAGACACTGACCACAACATTAAAACCACTGAAGGTTAAGTGAATAACATTGATTACATTGTTATAATGGCAACCATCAAGGAGTAGAATATATTAGGCAGCACGTGAACAGTCAGTTCTTGAATTTCATATATTGGAAGCAGGAAACATGTGTGTTGTAACATACTAGACCTCTGCCATGGAATTATTATAGTAAGGTTCTAGCATGACTGTACCATCCCCCAAGTACTTGGTGACACTCTTAAAAGACCATACAAAAGAGTCAATTCAGAAAAAAAGGTCTATGCTGTTTATTGAACAGAACAAAGGTTTTATAATAATGTAATAAAAGGGGAGTCTAGGGGCATTATCATTAAGTACCAAACAAATATTGACCTTGGTTAACTAACATCATATTAACTAGCATTAATTACCTGAAAACCGACACAAATGAATTAGTAAAGAAAAAATATTTAACCCCTTAAGACCGGAGGGCGTACTATTACGTCCTCTAATAGGCGGCTCTAAACGCCGCCGGGCGTAATAGTACGCCCTCCGGTCTTTCTGTACTTACCCGGTCGCCGGCGGTCCCACGCCGGCGAGCGCGGTGGGGGGGACTCCCAGGGAGCCCCCCGCGGCACGACCGTCCTCCAGGAAGCCCCCCGGCCGTGTGA